GTCTGACCACCACTTGAGGCTGCTCCCTCTGGACTGGATTCCAGACACTCTGGACTTTCTGGGTCCCTCATGCTCTCCCTGCTGCTTCCCACCACAGGGTCTTTCTTCTACCTGGAATCCTTTTCCTTCTCTATCTGCCTAGTTAGCTCCTGCTGCTTTTTCAGATTTTAGCTCAAAGGTCTCATTCTCATGGAAGACTTCCCGGACCTCATGCCCAGCCCGTGTTAGATCCCCTGGGTGAGCTCTCGTAACACTAATCACAGTTTTGTTTTTCTATTTATTTGTGTGATGTCCACTTCTTCCACTGGCCTGTGAGCTGTATGAGAGTAGGAACCAAGCCTATCTGTAGGAGTCACTCTGTGTCCCCAGCCTCAGCACAGTATCTGGCAGAAGAATTCCTTAATATCTGGAATGAACAAATGGATGAATGATAAATCATAAGTCATGTCTTGCGTTTACCCTCCAATGGATAAAAATGGTAGGACCTTTCCCACTGAAGACCTTTTCCCTGATCCTGTCCTCTCCGTTGGCTTCTTTTCTCAGGGTATTTAAAGTTAAAGGCATAATTCAGATGCAGAGTATAAACTGTGTCCTCATGACAGAGCATGACTAGAGAATATGATAGTTAATTTTGCACAGATGTAAACTACTAATAATCCCCTTCCAGAACATTCTTCCCAAGTATAACATGTAGCGAGCAGCACAGAGTTAAAATACTTTTTTTTTTCCAGTTCTGGTCCCAGCTGGCTAAATTTTGTTGCAAAACTCTGACTCCAAGTGTAGCAAGTTTTCAGCAATTGGAAGAAAGTTCTGAAATAGTAAACAGGAAAAGAGAATAGACAGAAGGTGTCTTTGACTTTCCCAAAGGACAGATTCCAAATAGAACTAGTAGAGAAAAATTTTCCCAACAAAAACTTAGAGATTTCACCAGAGGATTTAGCGTGTCGGCTGGAGGAACCCAATGATATCCAGGCAGATCTAGTAAGGACCATTCAATCAAGCTCCTCAGCATGGCCCTGGGCTAGTACAGCTAGAACAGCCTAGAGGGAGTGACAGCAGCAAACGCTCCATCCTGATGGCATGGATGAATTATTTAGGAAGTTGCTTAAAAATTAGCAGTGGTCATGTCCCACTGCAGATCAACTGAATCCTGTCTCTGGAGGTTGGAGCCCAGGCACAGGAACTTTTTTTAAACCCCTGGGGAATTTCAGTGTGTGTCTGGGGCTGAGGACCACCACCCAAAGCCCTGAGTTTATGGCTCCTGGTTAGCACCTCCTCACTTCCATCCTCTGTCACCCAGGCAAGTTTTCATCCCTTTGGATCTCTGAAGCGAGAGCTGCCAATACCCCTCCCTTCTTTGATTAAGAGCCACCCCGTCATTTCTTTCTCTCCCTAATCAGTCTTTCTCCTTTCCTCCCTTTCATTCAACAATTCTGAACGGGTGAGACAGCCTCTCAGTGATAACTGCCTAGGCCAAATTCCCAATTAGTCCTAGCCAGTTTTGACAGGATCGGGGAGTTGGCACACTGGCCTCAACTCTGCCCGTAAGTTCACCTTCTGACAACACAAGGCCAACCCCCCTTTATTTTAATGCTTAAATCCCCACCCCTAAAAGGACACAGGATGCATGTAACATACATGATGCCACAATGCACACGAGTGCACAGAGGGCACACCCCGACTTGAATATGCACAAAAATAACCTAGCCCTTGTTGGCCATGTGTAAGTGCCTGTAGCTAGACCCTTAAAAGTTGTAACTCCTGCCTGCTCAGAGAGTTTGGTTTATTTTAGGTCATGAGACTGACCTTGCTCCTTGCTTGGGCAACCCACAATAAAACTCCTTTCTGTTAAATGCTCAGATTACTGTCTTTTGTGTTTCTATTGGCATACACAATAGACAAGGACCCTGCAGGTGTTTACCACAACAACAGAAGTACTAAAATTCTCTTTCTGGGCTACCAACTTACTGTCATTAAAACAAACTGTTGGTACCATGTGCCCTTTGAGCACCTCAGGAGGATTCTTCAGGGATACTGTCTTTCTACATTTTATTTCTTAGGCTTAATACCTGCTCTCACCTTGCTCCTCAAAGTTTGGCCCACAGAGTAACACCATCGGCATTACCTGGGATCTTGTTCGAAATGCAGATTCACTGGCCTTAACCCAGATCCTCTGAATCAGAATCTTCCTTTTAACAAAATCCCAGTGATTCATGCACACATCTGAGAAACACTGCTCTGAAGAATACTCTTCACCCATGAAAATCTGGACATTTCCCAGGATATTCCTGTCCTTTCTTATGTCTTTTCACACTGTCT